TTTGGAGGCTGCTGCGATTCCTGAAGTTCTGTGGAATTTGTCTTGTCGACCGCATCCTGTGCCCAGGTGGCTTGCTGAGGTTCTGCAGGTTCTGCGTTTGGAGGCTGCTGCGATTCCTGAAGTTCTGTGGCTTTTGTCTTGTCAATGGCATCCTGTGTGGAGGTGGCTTGATGAGGTCCTACAGCTTCTGAGTTTGGAGGCTGCTGTGCGTCCTGAGGTCCTGCGGCCGTTTTGCTGTCGGCTGTAGGTACTGTCTGTGCATTGATGCATTCATGAGTAACTTCATGATGTCCCGGACTGGCATTAGGTGGGGTGGCACATACGGACGGTGCATCAGTTTGAGCTGGATCGCGACCTCGCTCTCCAATTCCAGCACTTTGTGTTTCCATAATAACCTGGACAGTTCATGCATTGCTTGAGAGGACTAACTCACGCGGCACACGGCACACACAGGCACACTGCGGCACGCAGGACTCACCTACAGAATAACATGACATGACATGGACCAACTAACGAAACGTGTTCATTGCACTCGAATTGACATAGTATGCATTGCGCATGCAGGAAGCCATGATCATGACTATCATAGTAACATGACATCCATGTTGATTCATGTTGAGCTTCATGATCAGCCAGGTCGGACATGACCACATGTGCTAGTCCATGTCCGTGCTATGTGGAGTGGACAAGTAGTATCGGTTGAACGTCCCATGTCAGATACTCTCAGACACGAATTGATCCGGCATGTGCTACTTCACGACCCCACGCCATGGCCCAAGCAATCTTGCTGAACCAATACAGTCAGATGGACGACAAGCTGACAACCAACGAAATGAAGCTGAAGCCTACCGACACTGTAAAGACAGATACAAAACACAGGCACATGAGACAAGTTGGTGCAGCCGGGCAGCAGTGGGAGCGGTGGGAGTCGCTTCAACCTACGATAGTACACAGATTCACATATCATGGAATCTTGAATGTAGAAACTGATCCAACAACTGAACACTTGGCCGGCATGTTCCGTGTTGATGTGTTCATGCGGTGGCAGTATCATGACCGTCATGTCGTGCACAAATGTCCCATGTGGGCCCATGCGTGAATGATATGCCCTCCAGACTACATGACGCAACTCTCACCCATGTATGCAGTGCCCACATGACATGTATCATGTGCCTCAGTCGCGGAATCCACAGAATCTGGGTGCAGGGTGTCCAGCAGCTGCTCGAGTTCCATTTCGAGATCATCTTGCATCTGCAAACCAACCATCGTAGCATCCACGAGCGTGGAGGTTGAGCTCTCTGGAGTATTCGTCAAATCACTCGGAAGGAATTTGACCCACTCCTTGTTCATGACCTGTGACAGTCTCAATCAAACGAACATGTATGAAACACGTAAAACGATGTTTTATGGTCTATTGTCAGCATTCCCGCCTCTCCCAAAGGTCTGACCAGGTACTTGATCGGATCGAAAGCTTCCACAAGCCGAACTTTCCAACCGTGGAATTTGCCCGCCGAATGGTGACTTTTGGATGTCAGTGCTCGAAGCTCTTCAACCGTGCAAAAGTGGCGGTTGAAGTGATCACTGAACGCCCCCTCTTCCAGTGATTCGTTGCCCTGAAACTCCAATATCCCGTGACATGTCAGGACGGGGCACCCTTGCTCGTTTTTCTTATGACCGCTTGCCATGATATACATCTTGCCGCCCACAGGTACACACCACAGTTTGTGCTTTCTGATCTCCAGGGTTTTCTGGCTACCAGGATGTCCTACGTCTTCAGCTGAAATGAACCTCTTCGCATGTTCAGGCCGCAAAATGAGGCCTCGCACCTGTTCGTCCCCACTGGCCGTCGCAAAGGCACTCATGGCAATGATCAAAGGACTCAGGTCTCGAACTACGGGAGTCTGAGCTGCAAACAACTTGGTGTCATGGAAGTCGGCTCAGATTCATCACTAGGACAGACGGCAGATGACAACAACATGGTCCCAACAACGTGAGCATCACCAACAGACCAACAGGTTCAAGGTTGTACGGTATTGTATTCGACACGTCCGTGCAGTAGTCCGTGTGGTGCAGTGTATTGTGTGTGTGTGTATGTATGTGATGTGTGTTTCCATGATTACCTTCATCTGAATCTGATTTTGTGAGTTATGTGACTTGTGACTTGTGTGTGTTTGTGTTTCCACAAGGCATGGTCCACTGTCCACTTGTCCACATCAGAGCTCAAAACACAGGCATCCAACAACCAGAGAAACCTCCATAAACAACCACAGTGACAGGACTTTCACAACAACACAAACAAATCGAAATAACACGGCAAAAGCTAGAACTTTGACAACATTATAACACATGACGCATCAACAGGTGGTTTAGTCATGTTATTATGGGTTTGTGTCGAGGCAGCTTTTAGCAAACGAACCAATGCTGAAGCACAACTAAAGCAGTCAACATAAACAAGTAAACAACGATATAATACTTGTATGTGCACGTGTCTCTGTGTGTGTGCGGTGCCTGGTGTGTGCTTGTGAGTGTTTGTCTTCAGTGCATGCCAATATGAGCGATTTTGTGTATGTTTGCGTGTGTTTGCGTGTGCTTGCGTATGCTTGTGTATGCGGGTACGTGTGT